TTTAGTGAATAGTTTTAAAGCTCTGTCTCTGATATATTTTTTCACTGAGTCAATCCTAAGATCTCTACATATGTCTGTTGATCTAATATACCATGGAATCTTAAATAGTCTTCTTAAAGCCAGGTTTTGAGCTATCTGTAATTGCTTTAAGGTAGTATTTGAGGCTTTGCTATATGTAACACATCCGTACAGTAGTACTGGTCTAATTACTTGCGTATAAAGTAACTTTCTGTTTTTAAAGTTGAAGTGATAATTATTAAATAGCGGGTTTAATAAATGTAGAATCTTAGATATTCAAAATATTTTTAAAAAATGATTAAATTAAAAAAATTATTTTAAATAAACACTCATCAAATCTGACTACTTTTCTTTCGTGTAAAATGTATTTATATTTTCTAATACCAATGCTTGTAGCACAGAATTTGAAACCCATTTTTTTTTTATATATTTGAGTAAATAAAAAAAATTTCTATTTGTTCGAGAAAAGACTTCCCATCTTCGATAAAACTGTCTTTATACATAGTCCTATTATAATAATTTTCTATTTTATGCATTTTAGTTATACTGCCGACTATAAGCAGATGATTTAAAAACAATTAATTAGGACAAAAAGAAAAAAAATAAATAAATCAAAATAATTTAGTTTTTGTATTCGTATTTTATTAATTGTATACAAAATGTTAATTACTACAAATTGCACAGACGATTAAATAAATTATTTTTTTATATGCTACCATACATTTATTATTAATATATTTATGTAAATACGTATCAGTCTCCGGAAACTAACAGGGTTTCAACATGAATTTTGTCTCTAGACGAGTAAGTAATTTATTCTAAAAATTACAATAATATATTAGAATGGTTCTTTCGTAACTAAAACACACTTTTTGTCTAAAAGAAATGATTATCATTAGCAACCAGCAGTTATTAGTGAAGTTACTGCGAGTTATTGCAAGTTGTTGCTAGTTGCATGCTGTTCATCATCATCATCATCATCATCATCATAATAAACAATACCATTCTCTTTAAATGAGACTAGTAAATGGCTTTAGAAATATTTTTCTGCTATTCACTTATTCGTAAAAAGTATTTTATTCTTCTTTGTGGTCGTTGTTGTTTTTGGTTTTGCTTCTAATTGTTAGCAGCATAACTAATTAGTATAACTACAATAGACTTCATTACTAACATTAGATGTAGAAAAATTAATTTAAATATGTTGCAGTTAATAATTATATTAAACTAAATTTAGGATTCTTTAAATCTGCTCAGCCACCTTCTCCACACGCAAATCACAAGATACCGCATTTTTTAAGAACGATTTTTCTCTTTCGTGCCGGATTCTTTTTGGCCGGTCTAAGTATAATTGTGCCGGTGTTTGATTTAGTGAATGTTGGACTGAATGCACTTATAGTTGGATGTTGCTGTTGGCCACTAGCGGGATGATCCACTGTATTGTACGCTTGCGTCATGAGCTGATGGCATTTTGTCGCCAAGTAACGAAATACAGACGCCACATTGACATCCTCTTTGACAGATGTGCGTATGAGGCGACAATTAAGGTTACGTGCTAATGTTTCGACTTCTTCCGATGTGACCACGGATTGTTCAATCAAATCGATTTTATTTTGTACAATAACCGTTGGTATTTCATTGCATTCATTCTCCACTTTTCGTTTCCAATCTTTAACTGCATCGAATGATGCACGATCTGTTGTACTAAAAGTGAGTACACAAGCTTGTGCCCCACGATAGTATGCTTTTGTTATGGCATCGAATTCTTCTTGACCAGCTGTGTCCCATAACATAATTCGCACATCTTCGCCATCGATTTCGATTTGTCTTTCGAGGAAATCGACACCAATTGTTTTTTTGTAATCTTTTGTAAAAATTCCTAAAATAAAAATAGAAAGAAAGAGTTATATATATTATATAGTAGTTATATTTTATTTACTTATTATAAAATTAATGTTGCAATTAATTAAAAAAATGGTACAAAATATCAGTGACTCTTTTAACTTAAACAAAGAGCAAGTGTAATATGTTTACCTCCACATCTTTTTTAACGAGTAGTATAAAATTCTGCAGAATCGACCTATGGACAACTTTTAAGATATAGATGCTACACTCTCAAAGTACTTGAGTTAATTGTTAGAACCACATTATTTATTATGAGAAATAAATTATTATGTGACTCTACAGAAACATAATAATTTGATATGTCATAATTTTATATAAATATATCCAATTCAATTGTTGTAACAAACCAGGATTTAATCCTATAATAAAGAAAAAAACTAAGAAAATTTCGGGTACTGATTTTTAGTACACTAGTTCAAGACACCATATACTGGATTCACGCGAGAGTTTTGGTTGTAATTTTAGACGTCATGTTTGTAATTTTAGCTGTCATGTTTGTAATTTTTACTGTCAATTGTTGTTACTTTCAATGCAAAATAAAAATTTTTGACAGCTAAAATTACAAACAAAACCATTAAAAGACTATATAATGAACTATATAAATAGTAAAATATTATAATTATGCCACAAATGAAAAAAATTAAAGATAAAATATATTGTTTCTTGAAGCAACATTAGACATTAGACACATTTGGGACATTAGTCCCAAACCAGTGATCTTAAAATTGGGCTAGGGAAGGGTATCTAATGAAACATAGATGATTACATTCTCTATGAAATTGAGCAGCTTTTAATAAGTTTTACATTATCATTATAGATTTCGACAATGCTTGATTTTTAAATAAAAATAAGCACTTCGAATTCACTTTATGGCCAAACTGCAACTCAAATTAATCAAGTGCTTGGTAATGCAAAATACATTACGAACCTAGTCTAACAAAGAAATATGACGTAAATTAACTTACAGTAGAAAACTCCAAAAACAGACTCCATGTTGAAATCAACACACACCTAGATACTTCGACAATCGCGCTCAAAGTTAAGTACGGTAAACTCCTTAATTGCAAGGTATGGGTATAATTTTGTTTTGTTCAAAATACTTTAATCGCAGAGAAGTAGAACATCCTCACAAAATGAAACAAATATAAGCATAAATACTAAAAACTGCAATCTAACGCCACTTCCTTCTTCCCAGAAGTTATTAATGTGATTAAAACCAAAAAAAAAAAATACAAAAAACCAGGTAATGTTTAAATCCCGGTGGCCGCTTTCAACAGCTTTTATAGCAGCAAATATAACTATTTCAGTAACTACGTGGGAACTATATATCGAATTTAAAAACCCTTCAACTGTTCGTTTATGAGCGATTACAATGAAGAACAAGCAGTTTAGGCCCACAATACTAAAGTGAATAAAGTTGAAAAAGTGTTACCGCTGGTACATCCAACTGCATTTAATAGTCTTTTGCACGCGACAAGAAGACTATAGAATTTATAGTATACTATACAAATACTATAGTATTTGTTTTTATACGATGCATTGCCGAAATATATCAGTTATATGCTAAAGCAGATATCGTAAAAAACAAAATCAATTCCTTATAATTGAAGCCCGAATAGGACGTGTGAAGTTTGTTACATTATTGTATTTCAAAAATAACATTTAAAATATGTTTACTTTTTAGTGAAAAGTTCAAGATCAAGTCATATATAAAAAAAGTTTTAAATAGTACAAGTATTGCGCTCCAAAGCTTTTATCATTTTTGATAGCTATTTTTTAAAAGTTCACAAGTTTCTCCAATATTTCTAACGTTTTATTAACAAAATTTTCAGTTAATATTTAATATAAATATATATATAAAATATATGAGATTTATCTATTATTTTTATCTTCTTGATTCTACTCCATCCGTTTCTTGAGTATGCCACTATTACTTACGTAGCATTACCAATCAGGGTCAAGATCCTGATTTGATAATATTGCTTCAATAACATGTTATAGAATAGAACTGTCATAAAATGGAATATATATTAATATCGTTTTCAATTGGTAAATCTAGATTCATTCTAGATACTAATTTAGATTCATTCTAGATTTACCCTCAATCTGTTAAATTTTGTAGTCCAATCAAACTTTTTTAGAGTAATATATTTTTTATGGCGTTTTTCATTAGTAAATCTGGAGAAATTTTTTCAATCGAGATGCTCTTTTAATGCACTTTAATTGCAATTTTATTTTCGATTAGTAAATTTGAAACAAAATGTCTAACATTCAAGAATGCTCGTAATTTATAACACTCTAGATATTTTGTCTGAGTAACAAGATTACCATAAAATTAACATTTACATTTTTCACAAATACATATATCGAATCAAATCACAGCTTATCTGTCAAACCATATAAAACAGCTGTTAATTTCCGTGTAATGTTGCTACTCGGGCAAAATATCTAGAGTGTTATAAATTAATATCCGAGTTTTATTAATTTTACCCCAGATTTACGAATCGAAAATAAAATTGCACTAAAAGTGCATTAAAAAAGCATCTTGATTGAAAAAATTTCTCCAATTGATTTACCAATTGAGAACGCCATAAACTTAAGGTTTGAGTACATTAAAATTGTGAAAGTGTAAAATTGTGTAAAATTTAATTTTCTTCTGTGATTTGACTCATTTTTTACTTGAAGTATATATATGTCAACAACAAAAAATTTGTCATATTTGGCATCAATTCACAAAAAAAAAAACCATTCAATTCAGAAAATGTCACTCTTATGGATGTCGGGAAGTGTAATGATTTTTCGAATAAAATCTTTTTGAAGAAGTGAGGTAAGAGTTTTGTATGAAGAACTTCGTTTTCATAATCAGGGATTTAAATCACCTCAGAGAATGTTTAGTTTTTATTTAATTTAATAACTTTAATCAATTTTAACATAGATTATTCACTTTTTTAAGCAAAAAATTATATCTTAAGAAATGAAAAATAAAAGACAAATTTCAAATGGAGAAGTCTAAGCGTAGAGGTAGCTTCAGTTTCGTTTTATCGATGAAAATGTTATTATTCTTTTGTATCTACCAAAATGAGGAGAGACAAATATATATATAATGTTTCACTCTACATCTGACTTAACTTTGGTAAAATTTTTATTTTCGCATGCGAATACCTATTAATTTCGAATTTGTCAGCCAACATTTGTATGTGTCGATGAAAAACTGAAAATATGTACAAAACCTTGCCAAAATCTGGCCAGTGTAGACGCAGGGCAAATAACAAAATTCAATGGGTTTTGTACCTCACAAGTTGTAGTAATTTTGAAATATTATTTTCGAATTTTGTCAGCCAACATTTGTATGTGTCGATGAAAAACTGAGAATATGTACAAAACCTTGCCAAAATCTGGCTAGTGTAAACGCAGGGCAAATCACAAAATTCAATAGGTTTCGTACCTCACAAGTTGTAGTAATTTTGAAATATCTGTTGTGATGATGATCTCCTAATAAAAAATTCAATCGGTATCAAGTAGTTTAGTAATGGAATTCTTACGCTATACTCTATTTATCTTATAGGTTTTTAGGTAAACTTAATTATTTGCTTAACGCAAATGAAAGAAAAATATTAAACGAAAATTAATTTTTAGTTTTTTTATATATAATGTGGTACAATGCTGCCACCTTACCACAAAAAAAGAAATTCGATAATCTATTTGCGCGAAATATTAAAAAATAAATACGGGGTCAACATTTTACAAAATATAAACCAAAATTGCTGTTAAGACATTCGCCGTGTTCAGTTGTGCACGATCTTCTACCACATAATTGAATGAATGAATGAATTGTCAATATAATTAAGTACTAGCAAAGAAAATATATGCGGTTTTATTAAAATTTATTGAAGTAAAAAAAAGCTTAAATTGCTTATAAAAAAAAAATAAAAATTGTCAACAACATTTACCAAAGCAAATAATTCAGATATCAAAAATATTTTCATTATAAACTTCTCGAGGTTTTCATGTTTTATATAGGAATTGGAATATAGGTGCCAACGCAAAAGAAAACACACCACTAATATAAAGTTAATTTCAAATTAATTAATATTAATTATGAAGTAAGAATCCTCACAGTTTACTCACGCATGCAGTCTGCGGTCAACTTATAGCGTCTGATAATGTATATGGGTCGTTCTTTTACAAACGGGACGGATTTGAGTTTATCATATTTTTTTGTACATTTAATGCAAAGCACTTGAAGTATTTTTTTAAAAATAAAAATATAATTAATTAATTCAATTATTCTACAGCTGGTTTATGATTTCGTTCTAATATAAACACACCAAGTGAATTTGTTAATAAAACTTTCACAGCAAATTAAAAAAAATCCAGAAAAATGTGCGAACATAAAAGACAAGTACAGCTTTGGGTCAGTTGTTTAAAAAGCGCTGACTCTGAGCTCGAATTTTGGCTGGGTACGAGTTCGATTCCTGGTACTTGCAAGAATTATTTTCAAGACCACTAATGATGAATATTTGGCAATACTTCAAACAGCTGTATTTTTAGCCAAAAATTCAATTAATTAAAATAATATAAAATTTTGTTGTTGTTGTAGTTTACTACTTTTCGACAACGTTTTAAAGAATTTTTTTGAAAATAAAACCATTCTGAAAATACTTGGCTATAAAAAAAATTTAATGATAAATTAAAATCGTAAATAAAAAATAAAATAATATTAATAATAGCACATTTTTTAAAATTTCATTCAAGAAAAAAATCGAGTGCATGCATTTGATATGATGTGAGTGATCTAATAATTTTTTAAAAATATTCACAAAAAATTTTTATTAATTAACTATTGGTATTAGTTCCAATTTAAATCATTTCAATTATTTTTATAAAATGTTCAACAATTATCTTTAAAATTTAGTTAACTTCTAATCTCTCTCATTTGCAGAGCCTAAGATTTGGCAATTTAAAAATTAGTCTCAAATGTTTCCATTAAGACATCCAAAAAAAATTTCAGCCAAATTGGCGACAATGAGAACAAACCACGTTCCGCTTATAAAAGAAAGATTCAAAACTTATACATTAAAATAGGCAATATTCTAAGTGCCAGCTAATAGCACTAAAAGCAAGAAAGAAATAACTGTACTAACTATAGTAAAAATTAAAATTACAAAAAACAAAATCAATTAGAAAAAAGTTGTAATTAAGAACACTAAAAGATCGAAATAGTTAACAAAAAAAAAAATGGTAAGAAACCTTTGTGTAAAAAATTTCAATATAAAAAATGTAACATTTTACAAAATGCCTGCTGACTTCCTATCGTACATCTCTATTAAAGAATTTTTAATTATATCTTTTAATAGTATTCGATTTTGATATATTGAACGTGTATTTAAGTACAGGTTTACGATATTTTTGAATTAATCTAATAGCTTTATTGAGTGTGATAAATTTCACACAAAAGGTGCTAAGAAAATAAATGCTAAAAACGAAAAATCTTGAAATTCTTTTCCTAATTTAGTCCCAACGTGATGTAGTCAGAACAGTATTTCAGTAAGTTATTGAGTAATTAATTACATTATGATAGCTAAATTGGCTTTGCTGTCTTATAATTCAAAGAAGCTATTATTTCCATTGAAGTAATTAACATTCTAGTAATGAAATTTTAAGTTTTTGTAAACTTAAATTTTTACAATCCATTAGTTGGTATTTATGTCAAATTCTTTATACATCATTTATTTATTTTTATATTTTAAAATATTTATTATAATTGTTGCCTTCACTCATAGAATTTGACGGATGAGTCATTTTTATTATTTTATTATTTTATTATTTTAATTGAATGCTATTTACAGATTCAAACTTCAGAGTTAATTTTAGTTTTTATTATATATTTTTAACTGTCGGTTGTTCATTTTTGAATATATGTACATAGTTAATAAAATTTAAAGGCAGTAAATTTTAAATTATCTTATTGCAAGTATATGGTATTTGGTATAAGTTGCTTAAAATAAGCATTGGTCAACAATTCCCATAAAACAATATTACAATAAAATATATATTTTCTGCTTAACCAAATATATTGACGGAAATCTCTGCCATCTTTTAAATAAAATGACAGGACTTTAGTTTGTTCAGATACAGTTAGTATTGTAATAAACTTAGATTTTTATTTTATAACAGCCGAGATGTTAAAAAAATTAAACTAATTTGATGTACGCTTCAAACCATTCAATTAAATTTACTTATATTTGTAACGCTTCAATGACCCAAATTATATCACTGCTCCAATATGAACATACATTACAATTTACATGACAGATTTTATATTAAAATAAAACTTGAAAACTTTTCCTAACCTCTTCAATACAAATATATTGTACTGCAAAAATTTACTACAATACGAAATACTATACTTAATATATAGTATAGTATAGTAAATACTATACTTAACTACAGCTCTGTGTTCCATTATGTTGTCCATATGTTTAATTCACTTACTCACTGCTGTTTAACTAAGGTAGCAATTTCCCCATCCCATTTTGTACTTATCTCTCTGATTTCAACTATTCTAATCCACTTCCACTTATATCCCAAATAATCTTATGCAATAAGAATGTAATAAGAATAACACGATCGATGTAATGTATTTACCATATTTGTAATACTTACTATTACACAAATTATGTATTTTGTATAATAGTAAGTCAGAATACATATAGTCTTAATATACAAAAAATGGTAAGAAAATAATAACAACAATAACAATAAACAAGTAATAATAAAGTATAGAGAAATAGGCTCGATAAGAGTAGAATAACCACGGTCTTTAACATCTTTTTTGAATCAATACCCTAACTTCACATTTATTTATATCATTACACAAGAAGCAACCTGATAGTATATTGGACTAAAACCATTCTGCAGTTATTCATTAGAATTAATACATGGCTGAAAAAAGCAGCACAGACTGGTTGGGATAATGTAATTGCTTGCAGATAAGCTAAAGAATTTATGCCGGATCGATCAAAAGCCAGAACTAACGAGCTACTAATGCTGAACAGAAAAGGCATCCAACTTTTCAAAGACTCATAGCTGAGACATACTCAACTAAGGTGAGTATGTCACAGAAATCCTCAAAGGATCCAGTGAGAAATAGTTCCCAAGCTTTTCAAAGTCTAATCTAATCTAATATCACTACAGCAATTGTGAGGAAAAACATACTCTGCGCAGTCACAGAGTTTAATTCTTAAAAATAAGAATAAATCAACTACACATCCCGTTAAGGAAGAATAAATATTGTAAGACAAGTATCACGTTGGAATCCATAGAAACCTTAACGACCAGAAACTCCAGTCAAGTCATACCGTAAACCTGCAGAAAACGAGTTCAACATATTAAACTTGGAATGAAGTATGTCTAAATGAAATTCATTTAGAAAGATTACTTAGGTCCTGTGGTCCACTGATTACATATCATATGATATAAAAAACTGATAAAAGTAGCAATATATTAAGACAAGTGCTACAATGGGACCCACTGGACTTTAACAATCCTACTACTACTAAGTCAAGACGTGACGTAAAACTGTACAGAATGAGCTAAACATGTTAAACTATACTTAGACTGAAATATGTCGTAAAGTTTATAGCTGAACTGTAGTTAAATATATTATTCGACCACTGTTTTTTACTGGTAGTTAAGTATGGCAGGAAACTATAGCTAAATTAAATAAGTAATAACTCACGAACGATTTGAAGTTTTAAAACAATTCACAAATTCATGAGAAAAGTTAGAATGAGTACTAAATAAATTTTAGAAATAAATAATAAATTTTAAATAATTACATTATAAGATGGAAATTAAATTGTGTTCCCACAAAAATGTGTACAATTATTTATATTTAATTTATATTCGAAAAAGGTTTATAGCAAGGTAATACTAACCATTTTTTTGTGGTGTGGCACATATACGAAAAGTATTTAGAAACGAATACTTATTTCTGCTATTTACTGCTTTTAGAAATAGAAAATTATGTTTTCTAACACGACAAAAATTATTATAATAATTATTGTTATGACTGCCAAAAAATATGTGATATCGATAGAGAACAAATTTGCTAAAATCTTTTCATCCTAATCCTAAAAAGTTATCTAATTTCAATAAGAAATCTCATAAGTTTTATTAATGCAATTGTGTCTAGTGCTAACAATTATTCAAAGTAACTCTCAATCAATAACGAAATATATGCTCCAACGTTTTATCTGCACCTTTATCATGACAATATTTACAAAGTATTCTTCCGAAAACGCATAATCTAGTCGAATTCATACCTTTTAAGCAATGACCTGTATTCACGGAATTTAGCAGCTGTTACATTAGAAGAGGAGCTATGGCTTTTGAAACATGTTCGGTTTAAAATATCTTGGTATGTAACAGGTGTATTCCGACTGCCAATTGTTTACTATTACAATTATTTTATATCCTATTTTTAAAAAAGGATGTATCATTATTCTGTGTTTCGGAATAGTAGTACCATGTCTAAGCAGCTTATCGACCTTACAATGTCAGTGGACGTATGTTTTTTTGTTTTACGAGTATTTTATTAAGAAACGACACAAGAATTTAATGGTAACTTGTATCTCCATAAAAATATAAATATCTCCATACAGTTTACAATAAATATTTCTGTTTTGTGTAGTTAGTATACACCCACCTATGATCTTCTGTGTTATAAGCAAGTTCACGAGAGTTGACAACAGAAGTGGTGTTCAAACATGCTTAGCAATTTGATAAAGGAATAAATTCATATTCCTGAAATCACAAAGTTGACAACAGAAGTGGTGTTCAAACATGCTTAGCAATTTGATAAAGGAATAAATTCATATTCCTGAAATCACAAAGTTATTGAGTTAAGGAATAACCAGTATTATCAAAAATATTTAAAAAGCTGCTAATAGCAAAAATAATGCCAATACTCTCAGGTAACGAAATAATTCCGGAACATCAATTCGGCTTCAGAGCTAAATATAGTACAACTGAAGAACTGCATTGTATTGTGTTATTCGTTAGAAACATATTTGAAAATAAACAATACTGCACTTCCATATTTATAGATGTAGCCCAATCGTTTGATAAAGTATGGCACGAAGGCTTAATACATAAAATTATAACTCTCATGTCAGCTAACACTCACCTTTTGTTAAAAAACTACTTAAGCAAAAGAACTTTTAGTTTAAGATATGCTTTTGTTTCAGATTTTGTTTACTCTAAATTAAAAAATTGTTGATAGAATTTTTATAAACTTTACTAAATAATATATTATACAAAAAAATTAAATATATAATTGATATATTAAATCATTTATATACATTTTAAATATCAATTACATATTTAATTAATAAAAACGAAGATTTTATTAAATGCCGTTCGTTCGTTCGTTTGAAAGCGCTCGTTTTGATGTGGATGCACCTTTAAATGAGCTGATTTATTGATAATGAGCTCATTTATATGAAAGATTTTTGTATGGTAAATCATCCTCTTTAGTGGTTATGATGAACAGAACCGCCTAAATAAGACAGTGTGAATGTGCTATTAGCTTAGTACTTTTATATTTAGCCAATTAAAAGACGATTTAAATGTCTTCAAAATCTGAAGAAATATAATCAGAATGTTTAATGGAGACAAATAAATAGTTTTTCTCCCATTAAACATAATTTCTTGAACATTTATTCATTTAATTTTTATAGTTAATGTCACGCAATATCTATCAATGACAAATTTAATATTATTGTCACTTATTTCTGCAATAATAACCTTAATGGTAAGTCATTGCCATTTTTTGTAATTGTCGAAGATAATTTAAGTACCTACATACAAACATTTTTGAATAATTGTTTCAAATAATAATTAATAATTATGTAAAATAAATTTTACCTTTACAGTAACGTTGTATCATTGATGATTTGCCTACACCGCCATTGCCAACAATAACGACTTTAATCGCTATCTCAATATCGTCCTCTCTCATCGTGGTGTATGATGATAATGAAGATGATGGGGTCGAAAGAAGACGCATGTGGTGATGTTGATTACTTTCGTTTCGGAATTGCTTGGATGGTTGGTTGATCGGTTGGTCGCTTATCTCTTCAGTTTGTACGTTGAGGTATTGCAATTATGCTTGTTTGAAATTGTTTGCGGGGCGTTACAAGAAAAAAACCTGCACTTTAATGCCTACTCTAGGCACAAACATGCAACAACAATGCACGCTCTTACGTACAACCGTTTTCAGCTGCTGTCCGTTGTGGTTGATGTGATTTTAAATTTCGCTTTAAAATCAGCACAAATCCACAATAATTCCAAGTAAAGTCTTTTTAACAGTAAAATAATTTTATTAGATTTTTTTTTTTTTTTCAATTTATAAGCATATATATGTTACGTTTTTCTATTATTAAGATGAACGCTTCTTATGAATTCTTAAGTAATTTACTTTTGCGTTCAGTTTGGCATTTAATACTTTGTGGTAGGCAACTTATATTTTTTTTTAGCAACTGCTGGTTGGACTTATTATGTTTAAACTAGTTTTAACGCCTCTCTAAGCTGTTATGTATGTGTGTGGCTGCAAGTGTTTACATCCATTAATATGTCTATAAATTAGGTGTCTTGATATTGAGAGTTACGCACAATTTTCCTCTGCTGTTCTTTTTGATTTTTTGTATATTTTTTGAGTAAAAACTACATTTCATTCACTTTCTATTAATTGATTTCTCTTACTTATTCGTTAATGAAAAATATTTTTCTTTCAATATTTTGTGTTAACCGGTTAAGTTTTTTTTTCTCTTAACGTTTTTTTTCACATAACTTATTTTTTCACCTGTAGCTTACGCACACATAAACGCAAGCGTTCACATCAATTGTAATATTCATAAGAATTCCACGTTCTTTTTCTCTTATTTATTTATTTTATTTTTTTTTTTTTGCTTTTGTTTGTCTATCTATGGCTTGTGGCTTCAATTTGCCTTCTATGCTGTTTCTTACCTTCTTACCTATTATTATTTATACACATACATATGTATATAAAGATGTGTTTTTTTTTATTTTTTATATTACACTTATTCTTTTTGCTTTATGTTCTTATTATGTTGTATTGCGTTAATTAAGGCCATCATTACAAAAATAGGTTTAGGCTTTAACCCAACTTTTTTTCTGGGTAATGCTGTGAACTATTTTCTTTTTCCAACGTTTGTTCCTATTGCAGCATCTTGTTGATTTCTTTTACACAAATATTGTTATTATTATTTTATGTATGTATGTATGTATATAATTCATATGTATATATGCATATAAATCGGACTTCGTGTAGTTTTGGTAAATATTTTGACTTTAATTGTCAATATTGGATTTGAATATTTAACAAAAGAATTGGGTTATAGATCATATAAAATGTAAATTGCATTTTTAAATTTCAATGACGTTCACATGTTCTTTAGAGAGAAAAATAAATTCAATTCCTACTTAGAATCATTGGCACTTATTTTAAAGTGAAAGGTGAAATAAAGTCTTAGATTATGAATACACATACATATTTGAAAACCATGACTTAAAATTTCCTATTACTGAAAAGCCCTACGGATAAGTCCAAAAATTGAATTACCGTATCGTTTATCGTTTATATCGAATGCATGCTGAACAGAAGTGGTATCCGACTTGTCTCAAGATTTCTTACTGGCCATTGCGGACTTAAAAAGCATTTAACGTATTCAGGTATTACTACAGACAATAGCTGTAGACTTTGTTGCGAAGAAGAGGAAACAGCAGAACACATTTTGTGTCTTGCCAGGCTCAGACTTCGGTACTTATCCACTGCCTATCCACTTATAACGGAATTAAGTAACATCTCTCCAAAGTACATAATGTCATTCTTAACTACTACTCGTTTATGGAACTAAAGTAGGTATGTCACAATAATCCTCAAAGGATGCAGTGAAGTGGTGACAAGTTCCCAACCCGTTTTAAAATTCAATCTAAGCTATAACGAATGCATCGTATTCCTTTATATTTATTTGTAATTATGCTTATAACTTATATTAATTAATGAACATTAATGAATTATTTTATATACTATAAAAATATAACAACTTTTCGTAAAGTTATTAAAAGGTAAAAAAAAAAATTTTTATGATGGATGAAATTTTCCCACTATTGAAATGACTTTTGGGTAAGCCCGAAAATTGAATTACCGTATCTTTTGTATGAAATGCTATATTTATTTGTAATTATGCTTAACATTAATAAATTATATTCTATACTAGATAAATATAACAACTTTTCGTAAAATTGATAAAAGCTATAGAAAGTTTTGGAAACGCGACAGATTTGAATGGATTGACACGTGATGAGTAACTACTTAGCACTGTATACACAGAGACCATGGCTGAAGTTTGACATAAGCTTGACCTGAATAGTTGACATGAGGAAAGTTCTTTTTCCTGAAAGAATGAAAGGGATGAAGACTTCATAAAGTCTACTCGGAGTTTTATTGGGAGTAAGATGTCTAATTTAGATTATTATTAATATATCTCCAATGTCGAATAGAACTAGCTTGTGTTTTTAAACAAAAATATCAGTTCAATGAAATATAATAGATTTGGTAATAATCGATATGGAGATATGGTACAAGCAGTAGATGCAATAGTAGTTCTCCATTAATAATTGTGAAATATTTTACAGTTAATTAATCTTAGCTGTTTCCATACAAATAATATAATTAATGGCGTAGAAAGAGACTCATTTAATAAAGAATTTGTAAATCTAATTCAAACTCAATATAAAAACATTTTATTGAAAAAATTACATTACTATATCTAGTAAAAAATGATCTTAATTATTTTAGGTTAGTTTAAACCCCTTAACCCTTCTTGTAAACGCAGCTAAGAATAAAAATAATTAATAGTTATGTTTGTGCTTTCCTATACGAGTAGATATTTGTGCAAATTAGTGAAGCTGCTATTTTATTTTATTCATCTAAAATTATTTAAAATTCTTACGTTAAATTGTTCACGTAAGTGGTATATATTAAAAACCACTTAATTCTGACATGGCAGAATTTCGCTAATAAAAGAGTGTTGAAATTTAATATACATATGCATTGATTGAAAAGATGCTACCTAATAATAATCGCCTACATTGTTCTCATTTCCGATTCTACAAACGTTTGAGAGATGTTACAAAGTCTTGTTCGTCGGATTTGGTTTTTAGCCACAACAACAACAAATTATCCTCTTAAATATTCAAGGAAGAGAATATATAAAATATAAATTCTTCAAGGGATATGTTTCATATTCTTTGCAATATATAAGTATTTTAAAGAATATTTGATTATAAAAGTGATACTAATACTTGGCCAGACCTCACTGGCTATGGCATCAATGTAGGAATAGGAACGAACGGGGTACTACAGTGGCGTAACTACAGGGAAGCGACTGAAAGCAACGCTTTCGGGCCCCCGAACTTTGTTGGACAAAACGTTTTTTTTGTTGAAATTACAAGGTTGGGTTTGTAATTTTAAGAAAACCTTTAAAGGATCCTATCCTGAAAATAGAAGTTTCAATGCTTCATACTATTCATACTATTAATTTAAAAACAAAATATGGAACAGTGCCACGACTTTGGTTATACTATTTAAAGTTAATGGATTCAGTATATTGTAAGCCGTGCTGGTTATTTTCTTATCAAACAAATCAATGATGTTCTGGATTTCGGGATTGGAAAAATTTGTCAGGAAAAATAAAAATACATACATCTATAAGAATTAGTAGGCCAATTTTAATCAAATGAAATGGTGAGCAGTATGTGTGTAAAGTTTCATTCGAAGAGTTCAAAAGCTGAGAGAGTAGTTTGAACTGAAAAAGTATATATATACCTACACATACTGATATATACTTTATGGTATTTTCGACGTTTCCTTTATTGCGTTACGAAAATCTTGACAAGTCTAATATACCCTTTGAACACTTTTTCGTGTGAAGGGTATAAAAAGATGTTAGTAGGAGGCCCTTAGTTAGAATTTGCTTATGGGCCTGAAAAATGTAGTTACGCCACTGGGGTACTAGCTCCAAAGGGAGCGGAGCAAGGCATCATGTAGATGAAAATAAAAGTTTCTACACTACTCCTAATTAAAAGTAATAAGAAACTTTCATTTATATAAAAAGTAAAGACTCATAATTTTATTTTTTATTTTTAAAATAAATAAGAATGTTAGCTCTTATTTTTCTTATGTGTATTTAGATAAATTTTTAAGACAGAGAAATTACCATTCCTAACATTGTAGTTATAGTACTTCGCATGATAAGTCAAATCTTAAACAATCAATCTTATAGCTAAATTTACTGAAAATCAAGTAACCCCCAGATTCTGAGCACTCGGCACAACTTTTTACTATTTAAATTAATTCAAATATTACTTCGATGTACAGCACTCTTACTATACCTATACTCCACATCAATTCATTTAATATATCAGAAGAAACAAATTACGTTAAATTGGATTGTAGTGATGGCTCTATAGGCCAAAGCTCACTTGCGTTCAAGTAATAACCCGTTGTGTTTAGTTAAGGATTGACTAGGCCATGAAAGATCTATTATGTATTCCTTTATTTTTTTAATCATTATTTATTAATTAATTTACTAGATGTCATCAAGAGAGTAATATTCAATTTGGTACCAAAAGAAATATATTATAATCTCAAATTTAACGCATCAAAGTTCAAGCAAATTACAATAAATACATATTATATAAGTAAAATTCACATTGTATATATATTAAAATTTTTAATATTGAAAATAATTTTAAATGGCTTTTCTACAGAATGATTTGGATTTAAACAGACTGCGATAATTAATACAGTGTACTATAGGTTTGTACGAGTCAAAAGAAGTAGTTGCGCAAAAACACTGCAATGCTTACAACGACTTTTCAAACACAACAACCTTAGCGCGAAGAACAGAAAGCTAATCTATAGCCAGATTATCAGAGTCGTGTATAGCAAAGCTGCCGACTCTACTATCCAGAAGTTACAAATTGCTCAAAGTCAGTATCTCCGAAGACTCTTCAAAATGCCATGATACATCCGCACGAATGACATGCTAAGAGACCTTAGAATAAATCCAGTCAAAAAACACATAAGAGACAGAGCCCTAAAGCTATATTCGAAAACCGACTGATTTCCCTACTTAACACTATCTAATCTCAGAATAATCACTAACCGCACTGGGTGGTACGCAGATCTTAGATCAGTCATTGAATAATCTCGAAGCTTATGAGGAATACATAAATTAGTCAGTGACATGAGTAGGACTCTGCAGAAACCCCCTAGATATCAAAAAGTAAAACTGCCCAGAAGCACTGTTTCGGAAAAGGCTCAACATTAACTATAGAGCTGATTGTCTGGTTACCTGAAAAAAGTTTAATACAAAAATCATAACCCTAAGTAGTTCAGTGTTTTTGTTGCAAAGGGTGTAATTAAGAAAGTTATTTTCACTTTTTCTATATAAATACTTTCAAGTGAAATAAAATTAACCAAAATGGATAAAATATAGTATATATAAATTACAGTTCGTTCAAATGGAGGATGTACAGCTCAATAGTTGACCTACTTAAACCTGGCCTACATAATAAAAAATTTAAGCTTATAACTTTTAAGTAATTAAACTAAAATACTATTAATTAATTATCAATCAAATGAAGCATAAACTATGTCATAAAATTTATTGTTAATCTTCACTGAACTTTAGTAGAGCTTTAGTTAACTCCTTGCAATATTTGAATGACTAACTTGGTTAACAAATTAAATGATTTTTATTACCTTTAACTTAAAATTGTAAAAAAAATGAAGCTATATACAGGACAAGCTATATATTTGTACTATTGGTTCAAATTTTATTTATGTAGTTTTCGAATAAAAATAGAAACATATATATTGGAAGAGAAATATAATAGAATAGACATTAACAATAAATTCAATGAGTTTCTCAATCTCAAAGAAATTGTTACATTTTTATTATTTTCTTATATTGAAAATATTTTGTAGAAGTAGAACTTTTTTAAAATAGGTATATGTACGAGTATTTAAATTACTTTTGAAAGTCATTCTACAATACGCTTTCTTGTCTTAGTTTGTGAAAAAAACACTATAACCTCAAATTATTATTTTTTTTTCCTGTCTCTGAAAACTATTTCTCCTTACTATTGGAAATTGTTAAAATTACTTAGATTACAGATTACGGCAACAGTACCGCAAGGCGAGGGAAGGACAGTATTAATATATTTTTTATTTTTAATTAATTTTAACGAAATTATAATCTGTATATAATTTTTAATATTTAATTAAAAATTAAATGTATTTTTCCAGTTATTTGATGAATCTAAATAATGTGAATGTTTAAAAAATACACCCAATTTAGACCACTAAAAGTGAAGTATACCAATAGTTGTGAAAAAATAGTATATCGCCCCCTTAGTAAAATCTTTGTCACTATGTTAAGTGTTATTTGTTAAACTTTTCGCTCTTTGATAAATAGATACGATCTATATGCCAAATTAATTAACTATTAAATCCTTCGAATGGCTATGGTTCACATATATCAGAACCAATTAATGTAATGACTATATTTGGAATATATTTGTATAACTATATTTGGAAAAATTTAAGCTAGAAAATGTAGTTTCATTTCTACAAATACAGAAGCTATTCCACACACTTAGCTAAGTTAATAATTGACAGCTAATTTAAACTCTAATTCTATAG